CCCACGCCAGCCTCAAGCAGGCTGCTGCACGCCAGCCCCTGGCACACTTCGGCATTGGCAAGAGCTGCCTCCTCGGCCTGACTGGCCTCCAGTAGTCAGGAGGCAGGCCGAGGTAGTACATAGGACTTCCCAGGCACTTCCGAGGCAGGCAGTCGGCAGTTGTAGTCTTCAGGATTCGGGAGCAGCACTCTGGAGGGAGCGCTGCAGTGTAGAGTAGTAGCGTTAGCTTGTAGTCTTCAGCACAGGGCGCAGTAGGTAGCTGTAGTCTCCAGCGCTGGGCGCCATAGCTAGGTAGTACTAGAGAGAGAGAGAGAGAGCTTGGGCGGAGGCCAGAGATACCTACCTGCAGCGCCGTTGCTCCAGCTTCGTCTTCGAGGTACCTGCAGCACAGCGCCAATATCACAGGTTAGTATCTGGTTCGTAACAGAGAGAGAGAGAGAGTTTCTTCTTCTCAGTCCACCATCTCTTCTCTCCCTCTCACTTCTGAGTTCACTGCATCTGCAGACTATGAGAGAAGAGATACAGAGCTTGGTGACATTTGATCCAGACTCGACTTTCGGGGATTCAGACATGGCAACGAGGGACTATTTGGGATTGGTGACCAAGACTTGGTGTTAACGACATTCCCATCTTCCTCCCTCCTTTCGTCTGATCCTTATCTCTTTGTCTGTGTATGTCTGGACCTGGCGCTTTCTTCCTATGTGCAGCGCCAGGCTCCTTCACACTCGGTGATGGATATAATGCATGTTTAGTCTGAGTTCAAACATTGATTGGGCTAGTTAATAGCACTCTAGCATTCTGCTTCGTTACTCTGAACTACGTGAATGACGTCAGTCCTGTCAGGTCAGTCTTTGTATCAAAGTCTTCCCTGCGCTCTTCAGCACCTTTATGTATGAATGAGAATTTACATTGCTTGTCGAGAGTCTACTCGTACCGCATTGTCTATTCAGTCCTTTTCATCACATTGCAGATTCTCGGTTTATTACGTACATTGCATATCTGTGCATGTAACAGTCGGGGTGGACTAAAGATTTCCAAGTTCGAAGTCAAGGAGGGAAGAGAGAGAGAGAGAGAGAGAGAGAGAGAGAGAGAGAGAGAGAGAAGGGGGGGGGAATGTGCCAAGCTGTCCATTATGTGACTCTGAGACGTGCTATGTTTCTTTATTGCCTTTTGCCTTCCTGGAAATGTTCCAAAGTCAAGGAGGGAAGAGAGAGAGAGAGAGAGAGAGAGAGAGAGAGAGA